GGATGTTGGCAATTTGATCTCTGGTTCCTCTGCCTTTTCTAAAACCAGCTTGAACATCTGGAAGTTCACGGTTTATGTATTGCTGAAGGCTGGCTTGGAGAATTTTGAGCATCACTTTACTAGCGTGTGAGATGAGTGCAATTATGCAGTAGTTTGAGCATTCTTTGGTATTGCCTTTCTTTGGGATTGGAATGAAAACTGACCTTTTCCAGTCCCGTGGCCACTGCTGAGTTTTCCAAATTTGCTGGCATATTGAGTGCAGCACTGTCACAGCATCATCTTTCAGGATTTGAAATAGCTCAACTGGAATTCCATCACCTCCACTAGCTTTGTTCGTAGTGATGCTTCCTAAGGCCCACTTGACTTTACATTCCAGGATGTCTGGCTCTAGGTGAGTGATCACACCATCACGATTAACTGGGTCATGAAGATCTTTTTTGTACAGTTCTTCTGTGTATTCTTGCCACCTCTTCTTAATATCTTCTGCTTCTGCTAGGTCCATATCATTTCTATCCTTTATTGAGCCCATCTTTGACAAGGATATTGTGGTTCAAAAGAGCATTATCTTTGAGAGTTATGATAAAACAATATAATACTGGACTTTCTGTCAAAATAATGGGGGTGGAGTGGTAAGGAGTACAGGAGAAACAGGACTGGCTATGTGGCAGGGGCTATTGAAGGTGAACACTGAGGATGTTTAATTATATTTCTCTGCTCACACATGCTCAAAATTTTCCAAACCTTAAAAAGTTTAGATAATAATTTTAAGAAAGCATTAGGTGTCTGCTGCATGCGATGGCTGGTGGGGGCTGCCCTCCACTGCTTTCTGGCTCTGGTTTGTATCCTGCTGTCTGGGAGCGGCGATCCCCACACATGGGTTGTGACATGCCGTCCCACTCCTTTCTGAGGTTCATGACCTTATACAGACAGCATCCCATTCTTACCTTCTACCCTGCACTGGAAACCCAGCCCTGTCACTCTCATTCTGCCTGAGACAGAGGCCCCGGAACCCTCAGCACAGCTGAAGAGTCAGTCAACAGGCCAGCTTCCCAACAGCTCTGAGAACCACACTTTCTTTATCAGACAGCCCGGAGCTAAGACCACATTCCAGCCAATTCGTCTCAAGGCACAGAAACCAGAGATACAGGTGTCCCTCAGAATCCAGTGGGGACTGTTCAAGGATTGCCACGGACACCAAAATCCAAGGATGCTGAAGTCCCTTACATAAAAATGGCATAATACTTGCATATAACCTATACATATCCTCCTATATACTTTAAATCATCTCTAGATGACTTGCAATACATAATACAAGCAGACAGACCTCAGAGGTTCAATTTTAGAAGACTGGAATTGTAGGCTCAATTCCAGATAACTGTAATAAAGCAAATGTTGCAATAAAGCAAGTCACACATATTTTGTGATTTCCCAGTATACACAGCTATGTTCTTAATACGAAAGTGAACGTGTTAGTTGCTCAGTCGTGTACAAGTCTTTGGGACCCCATGGACTGTAGCCCACCAGGCTCCTCTGTCCATGAGATTCTGAAGGCAAGAATACTTGGGCAGCTTGCCATTTCCTTCTCCAGGGGATCTTCCCAACCCAGGGATCAAACCTGGGTCACCCGTGTTGTAGGCAGATTCTTTACCATCTAAGCCACGAGTTCACTGAGTGTGCAACAGCATTATACCTTTAAAAAGCAATGTACATACCTTAACTTAGAAACATTTTACTGCTATAAAATGCTAACCATCATCTGAGCCTTCAGTGAGTCGTGATCTCTTTGCCATAGTCCCATCAAAGATCACTGATCACAGACTGCCACAACAAATGTACTAACGATGAAAAAGTTTGAACTTTAACAAGAACTATAAAATGTGACTGAGTCAAAAAGGGAGCAAATTTCATTGGAAAAACGGCACCTAAAGACGTGCTTAACAAGGTCGCCACAGCCTGCAATAAAAGCACAATATCTGAAAAGCACAATAAGGTCTAATGAAAATACTATGTAAATAGTTGTGAATACAATGTATATGATAGAGTTGTCAGCATGTAGAAAATGCAAGTTTTACTTTTTGGAACTTGCCGGAATCTTTTTTCAAATATTTTTGATCTGCAAAGGCAAACCCCATGGATACAGAGCACCACCTACAGAATATCACCCTGTGTTTCTGTAGAGCTAAACTTCAGCACCGTTCTGCCTAAAGTTCTCCTCCCCTGGGTACAAAGATGCCTTCATAGTTCTCCACTTCCTTCCCGCACCACTCTAGAGGCAATGGTGCCCCATCCTGCTCTTGCCCTTCTCAATTTTGTTTTTCTTTTCTTTTCTTTTTTTTTTTTTGGCCTCATCAGGTGGCTTGTGGGATCTTAGTTCCCAGACCAGGAATTGAACCCAGACCCTCAGCATTAAGAGCAGAGTCCTAAACACTGGACTTCCAGGGGATTCCCTCAATTCTATCTTATAGCACCTACTGCTACTTGACACTAAGTTTGTCTACAACCCTCCTTTTCGAACTGTAACCTCCCTGAGGGCAGGGACTTTGCTTGGTTTGCCTCTGCGTGCTCAGATTCTCAACAGCAACTGAAACACAAAAGCAGGTCAAACACATGTGCAGAATGCTCCGGATCCCAGGAAAATAGGACTAAATGTCAAAGAGGGCTGAGAACAAAAACCCAATACTATTAACATTAACTAAGAACATGCGCTTTCCCCACCCACACGCCCACACCCACTTCATGCACTAACAGGGTGATTTCATGGCACTACTTTTATCCACTCTGACATTTAGACTGTTCCAAAGAGCTGAAAAATCAGTGACTACAGGGGCATATTAATAATAGCTGAATATGTCAGTTTGTGCCAGAAAAAAACCCAGAGCAAACGTAGTACCTTCACGTGCCCACTTCAGTATTTACAACAGACACAAATCATCTCAGAATTTAGGGTGTAGTGTGAATTACCTTAAAGCCTTTAGAGGTCATGGGTGTTGGTTATTTTAAGTAAAAAATCAGCACTTTCTACTGTATATAAAATAGATTAATAAGGACCTACTGTATAGCAAGCACCGAAAACTCTCCTCAATATTCTGCAATGGCCTATATGGGAGAAGAATCTTAAAAAGAGTAGATGTATTTGTGTATGTAAAACTCATTGACTTTGATGTACACTTGAAATTAATACCATATTGTAAATTAACTATACACCAATAAAAAAATTTAATACAGATAGATTTTAAAAATAAACAACGCTTGGTTGTGCAACTTGGGGTAAAAACAATCAGTGCTTCGCTCCTCCTCCTCCTACTACAATTCTACCAGCTAGAAATCCCGACCAGCAACTGGCCTTGTGACAGCAACATCTAGGAAGCTGGCTGCGCTGGCAGGCGGTTCAGGCTGTCTGGTTCTAGCCTGACCTGACTGCGACCCTCAGCTGCCACGTGATCCTGGGCAAGGTGCTGCACCTGTTTCCTCACCTGTGAATCAGGGGGCAATCACAGGGTCTGGATCACAAGGCTGATATGAGAATTAAAGGCCTGAGTGACAGGGACACAGCCCAGACCAGTACCAGGCAGAGGGTAAAGGTCAGTTCTCCTAGCTGTCATGATCAGCAGTGTTACCAACCACAGCTGATCTCACTTAGACACTTACGTGTGCGTGCTTAGTCGCTCAATCACATCTGACTCTCTGCAACCCCCAGGACCATAGCCTGCCAGGCTCCTCTGTCCATGGGATTCTCCAGGCAAGAACACTGGAGTGGGTTGCCATTTCCTCCTCCAGCTTACACACTTACACTTTAACATAATTCTAGGAAGTGCTCATCCTCAAGAACACAGAAAAAAATAGACTGTCATTTTTTTTTAAGGCCTGAAAAAACTGGTGACAATACAGTGTATCATAATCCAAAGGGGATTCTGCTATAAATCTCTGTTGAGTGAATTAATGTCAGGAGGAAGATACAAGCTTTTAAGAAATGTTGGTAAACACTATTCAACGCCCTCAGAATTCATGTGAAAGAAGATCATGCTCACAATGCACTCAGCATAGCACTGGGCACTTGGAGAACACTCAACAGAAGGGAGATATTACTGCTACTGCCGTGATCGTGTATTTCAAGGCAAAGTGGGATTTTAAAGTCTTGCAGGCTCAAGTTCTCTTCCTCTGCACACAGCCTAGAAACCCAAAGAATGAGGCAAGTTCCAACACTGCCCTGCTATCCCTCTGCCTCCCCATAAGTTGTTGTTTTGTTGTTTTTTTCAAATATTTTTGATCTGCAAAGGCAAACCCCATGGATACAGAGCACCACCTACAGAATATCACCCTGTGTTTCTGTAGAGCTAAACTTCAGCACCGTTCTGCCTAAAGTTCTCCTCCCCTGGGTACAAAGATGCCTTCATAGTTCTCCACTTCCTTCCCGCACCACTCTAGAGGCAATGGTGCCCCATCCTGCTCTTGCCCTTCTCAATTTTGTTTTTTTTTTTTTTTTTTTTTTTGGCCTCATCAGGTGGCTTGTGGGATCTTAGTTCCCAGGCCAGGGATCAAACCCATGTGCCCTGCATTAGCAGATGGATTCTTAACCACCAAACCTCCAGGGAAGTCCCTCCATAAATTTCCTGCCTTTGTCTTCTTGATATGTTAAGATGATTCTTTGTGAGACTTATTTCAATGCAACTGCTCCAGGGCTAACAAAAATCTAGGAAGTGTTGATACATTTCAAAGCACTTTTTTACAAATGAAGACACAGGGCCTTGGTCGAGAGGTTCAGAAACTTGTCTAAGATCTCACCATGAGCGGCGCCACCAGGCAACTAGAAATCCAGGCTCCCCAAACCTCACCCAGGCTTCTTTCCATTACCAGGTACTACTCACCCAGAGATAAATGCACCAAAACCTCCCCCAGAACCAGCTCCTACACCTGGATTTCCCCCCACTTAAAGACGGACATATTCATTAACAACCCCCCACTCACCATGATTTCCCTCTGTTCTTCCAGATTCTTCAAAAAATTAGAAAATTCACGCAAGGAAGCATCTGTAAGGAGAAAGGCATCATTATTTCGTGGCCAAAGCAAAGGAAAGCCAACCAAAACCTCGTCTTTACATACCTATGCAGCGTTCATCATCGGTCTCTGCATCTCCGATGAACTCGAATTTGAAGTCTCTGAGGGAGTGCGCGAACTTCCGCTGGGCTGCCGAGAGACCTGGAAAGAAAGAGGGAGTGACCACGGGCGTCCTTGCTTCCAGTCAAGCTTTAGCATGAACTGATTCCTCCTCAGACGGCAGAGCTGTGGAGCTCTCCTCCTCATGAGCTGTGACAAGGCCCAACCCAGCTCCTCAGCCACGGGGCCCGGCAGCCCACCTGGGCACTCCCTGGGAGTTTGTCTGCGATGTTCTAGGATGGAGCAGCTGCTGGGGAAATATTTATACTGCTCCCAAAAGCACTTTCCCGTTCTCTACTCACACAGGTCAGGACATGGGCCAATTCAAAAGTTCCAGCTATCACCAGGGGCACACCACACCTGACAGCATGTCCCGAGGCTTGATGACATCCAACCAGGTGCCGAGATTTCAAATATAAACATCTCAAAGCCCAGTCAGCCCCCCAGATGCCCTTAACTGATGGTCCAACTCTGGCTGGAGAAACCCAGGGGATTCAAAGAGCTTTCAAAGCAAACAGCAGCAGCGAGGTGAGCCAAAAGCCAAGCTTAAATGGCAGAAAGAATTCATTCTCCAAAAGACCTATAGGGCCTCATCTTTTTTCCTGATTGGTGATTCATAGAAAACAGTGGAAATAGTTCTACTTCTGTAACAGGCTAACAGTTATGTTACAGGCTACACAACATGCTACAAGATATGTATTTCTTTAACCTCACTCAATACTCTTAAGAGATAAATAAAGGTTATCCCCAGTGTACCATGGAGTGCCAAAGCTCAGAGATGTTAAATAACTAGCACTATATCACACAGCTACAACAGCAGCAAAGGTTTGATCGCTTCCAAAGTCGTCTGTACAAAACCCATGCCCTTGACAGGGTACAATCCTGTTTCTAAAGCACTTTAAAAGCTGCTGCTTCCCCACGCCTGCAGCCTGTATGGCCCCTGGCTCACTACAATGAATACCGACAGACCGTGCTAAAGTAAAACATCCTGTCAAGCAAATAGCAAAGTTGAAAAAGCAAAACACCAGTCCATAACTGTTGATCAGAGCACTCACACAAAAAGCAAACACGGACAAGAAACCGAAGCACTGGTCATGAACACTGAGGGCTGTTTCTAATAAGACGGTGTAAGATGGTAGCAGCAAAAAGCTTCTCTTTCTTAGTCACCGTATTATAGCTGACAAGCAAGTGAAAGAAAAAATTTATTATTTTTACATTGGGAAAAAAAAAAAGCTTTTTAACCAACTCTTTACCTCCACTCATTAAGCACAATGGTTCCCCAATCCCCTCCCTGACAAGCTGCTGCTCCTCACTTCTTCAACTTCCTAATAACCCTCACCAGTTCTGGCAGCCGCTCCCACGGCCTGGTTGTTTATTTTTTTCTGGCGGCGCTGACTCTTCCCTGTGGCACGTGGGCTCTCTGGAGCGGTGGCTCACGGGCTTCGCTGCCCTGGGGAATACTGCATGTGGAATCTTCTCAGATCAGAGACAGAACCCGGGTCCCCTGCATTGGCAGGTGGATTCTTAACCACTGGACCGCCAGGGAAGTGCTTTTAATCTTTTTCTTAACAGATTCTATTTTAGGGTAGTTGCAGGTTCACAGCAAATTGTGGAGAAGGTAGAAAGGTTTTCCCTAGAACCCCTGCCCTGATATGCATAGCTTCCCTCATTATCAACAACTTCCACTATCACGGTTTTGGAAACCTCATTCTTCCAAAGCTAAACCAGAAACCTTTTACAAGGTGACACAGGATCGTAATTTCTTACCCTTGGAGTATGGAACAAAAGCACAACCATAATGTAAAACGTGATGGGTTGCAAGCATGGTCTCATTCTCCACCCCCCCTTTGTAGGAGCTTCTCTTTACAATGAGATTCCTCAGCTCCTTTGGCAATAGGTAGAGTTTATCCCACCCCTTGAATCTGGGCTGGCCTTGTGGCCAAAAGAATGTGATGAAAGTGACACTGCTAATTCGGAACCTCCAGCTTGAGAACTTGGCACATCCCTGCTCCACTCCATTGAAAGCCTCTGGCCTCCATGTGATCAAGCCCCAGCTAGCCTCCTGAATGGTAGAAGACGTGTGGCCCAGGCGCCTCACTTATTACCCCATCGGTCAGACATCCCATCCATGGAAGCAGAGCTTCCCGCCTTAAAGGAGGCAGCCCAGATGAGATCACACTGCCCAGCGGGCAGAGTCCAACCTGAAATAGAGACTGCCGCTTAGGCCACTAGACACGGGGGTGATTTGTTACTAAGTAATAAATAGACTAATATAGAAAGGTTGATGAAATTTGACTGTATTAAAATTTTAAAGACATTAAAGAGTAAAGAAAAAGCACATACCACAAAGGTACAAACAGCAGCTATGAGTCACTGAGGTAAGGCAGAAAGTCCCATAAAAAATTGGGCAAAACAATCTGAATAGGCCCTTTGCAAAACGAAATGAAGGAAATCCAAACGGCCCCAAAACCACACGAAAAGGTGCTCAAACTCATTAGTGATTATAAAAATGAAAGGAAAACCTCAACATACCTCAGTACACGCATCAGGCTGGCAAAAATCAGCAAGTCTGGCAACCTCAAGAGTTGGTGTATGTGAAGCAACAAAAATTTTCTCTTACTGCCAGCAAAGGGTAAGAATTGGTAAGTGGTGATGGTGATTTAGTCGCTAAGTCACGTCTGACTCTTTGTAACCCCATGGACTGTAGCCCGCCAGGCTTCTCTGTCCATGGGATTTCCCAGGCAAGAATATTGGAGTGGGTTCCAATTTCCTTCTCCAGAGGATCTTCCTGACCCAGGGATAGAACATGAGTCTCCTGCTTGGCAGGCAGATTCTTTATCACTGAGCCACTTGGGAAGTCCAAAAGTTGATATAATTACCTTTTTAAGTACTTTGGCATTATCTGATAAGTTTGATGAGAACCTACAACCTAAAATTGTCCTTCCAGGTAAATTCCTAAGACAAACTTTAGCACATGTGCACTTACAGATGTGTATTTTCTACAATATAAATTCACGCATCAACACAGATTAATCTCACAATTTGGAGAGAAAGAAGGAAGTCGTGAAAGAGTCCACACAGTATGGTTGTTTCACACAAAGTTCAAAGCAAGCTCCACTAAACCCTATGTTTAGGTTGCATACACAGGTCACAAAATTACAGAACAATTAAAAACGGTAAGTGAATCATTCTCTCAAAAGTCACACGATGTTCACCACTGGGAACAAGGGCAGAGGATGTAGCAGACTGCTACGAGAGGATTCAAAGGTTATTTTAATTCGTAACCTAATGGTGAGTCTGTGGATATTTGCTGTCTCATTCTTCTTTAAAACATACACCTGGTTCACCTATTTCTGTATTTCCACCAAAAATTCACAGCTAAACAATAAAAATGTTTAAATCATAAAAATGTAAAGCCTGGGGATTTCCCTGGTAGTCCAGTAGTTAAGCTCTGCGCTTTCATACACCTGGTTCACCTATTTCTGTATTTCCACCAAAAATTCACAGCTAAACAATAAAAATGTTTAAATCATAAAAATGTAAAGCCTGGGGATTTCCCTGGTAGTCCAGTGGTTAAGCTCTGCGCTTCAACAGCAGGGGGGTACACGGGTTTGATCCCTGGTCAGGGAACTAATATGCCATATGCCAAGGGGCATGATAAATGAAATAATAAAGGTATATATCTTCTAAAAAAGTATAAACCCTGGCTATTGCGGCCACTCCAGAGTTAATCCAGGCAAACATACAATTATTCCCTAGGACTGGCCATGCCGGCCTGTTCTTGGTTCACACAAGCCAGACTACCAGGCTTCAAAGTGAGGTCCCACCCTGGAAGGGCTCCTCGCCCGCCCTCACCCCCATCTGGCTGGATCCTTCACAGAAACCTCCCCCTCGCACCACCCTCCCCAACATCATCACCCCTGCGCCCTACACCCCACTCTGTTCCACAGGGCGCGATCTTCGCGGCGCTGCTCCCCCGAAACTGCCTCATTTAGTCAGTATTTCCTCGGGGTTCTCTCTCCTCCTGCCTCAGCTTATCTGGGCCCTGATGCAGCAGCCGGCAGCCTTGCGCTTCCCTGTGTCTTTGAAACAGGGACCACACAGTTTTTGCTTCTCAGTTCATGCAGCTATCTCCAAATAGAGAGCGTGTGGGCTTATTATCATTTTTAATAACTTGATTGTACTCCATTTTGCTAATGTTTGCCAGTTCTCAACAGGGGCATGTAACTGGTTCCGTCTGTGTGTTTATATGTGTAAGTCTCTATGTATTTATTTATATATGCCATATATAGAAAGTGGAGCTGCTTAGTCGTGTCCGACTCTTTGCAACCCCATGGGCTGTAGCCTACCAGGCTCCTCCATCCATGCGATTTTCCAGGCAAGAGTACTGGAGTGGGGTGCCATTTGCTTCTCCAGAGGATCTTCCCGACCTGGGGATCGAACCCGGGTCCCCCACACTGTAGGTAGACACTTTACCTTCTGAGCCACCAGGGAAAAAACAACATTATCAATGTTTATATTATACACACAGAACCATGCGTTAGTCACTCAGTCGTGTCAGAGGCTCTTTATGACCCCATGAGCCCACCAGGCTCCTCTGTCCAAAGAATTCTCCAGGCAAGAACAGTTGAGTGGGTTGCCATTCCCTTCTCCAGGGGATCTTCCCCACCCAGGGATTGAACCTGGGTCTCCTGCATTGCAGGCAGACTCCTGACCATCTGAGCCACAAGAGATGCCCACAGAGCCATAAATGCTGGTATAAAATCTATTTTTCCCCTCTGGAGTCTCTTCCTTTGAGTTATTTTATCCAAAACTACTATGTCAAAGAATACTTCAAGAAGCATGCTTTCATAATGTCAGGGCAAGATACTCTCCAGAAAGCTATAATTTAAATGCATCCATTTCTCAACATTTATTTCATAATTCCTAATCTCATTAGTTGAAAATATTTATAACAGCAGAATTGAACCGAATCATATTTGCACAGCTAATATGATACATTTCTTCCTTTGTAAATACCATACTTTTCTCTCTTACCTCTG